CCCGGGGAAAAAAAATGAGGCTGGGTTGGACGCTCTTATCTCGTGGGGTGTAGTTTCTGAGGCGGCTGCAGCTTGTTGAAATCCGGAATGATTCTGGGGAGTGAGTTAGTGTGCTGGGTAAAGTTGAGAATTTTTCTTTCCTTTTTTTCTCTTCCTCTTTATTTTTCTCCAGACCCTGTTTCCCAGCAATCGTTTTTCCATTCTCACCATTTCCTCCTGCAAATCTCCTTACCTCACAATCTACCATTTGTATTTCTCAAGTGTCTTTCTCCTGTTCCTGTTCTTTTTCCCAGTTGGGGTTGTCAAGTGGGAGGTGTCTGAAGTCCAGACACCACTGAACTGCCTCTTTGGCTTTTTTTCTTCAATCAACTTTACATGTCTCCCCTCCCGTTGTGTTTTGCATTTGCCCATTAGAGATCCCTTAACCGATGAATGTGTGAGTTCTGGTGTATGCATGCCTCATAGGGATGGACAGTTCCTGCTGGGAAGTATCCCTCTTTGGCAGTCTCCAGATGTCCTGTCCATTCCTGGCATCTTTCCTTTCCACTGCCCCCATAAAAAAGTCTGGTTTTGCTAGATGTATTTCAAGAGTCATATTTTTCTGCATGTCAATTTTTATAATGGAAAATCAGTCCCTCCCTTAATAGTTTATATTTTGTTAGCCCTAATTAATAATGAATTTGCTTTTTTCTGCAATGGAGAGGTTCACTTGCTGGAAGATATATATAGGAGAACAATCAAACATCTGTTTAATCTCTTTCAGATGTTTTCACCCAATTCGCTTTCCTTAAGTAAATCACATACTACACTTTGAAGTTCATGTTTGGTCACGAGGTTGTAGTGGGTACATCAGTTTGTTATACCCTTACAGAACTGAATTACCTGTTATTTTATAAAAGGTGCAGCCTGCATTGGCATCTCTTCTTTAAGGGAAAGACGTGATTTCTGTTTCTAAAGATGACAGCATCATGAATTACTGATGAGTAAGATCCAGTACAGGTTTTGAAAGGCAACAGGTACAGCCACTATAGGATCTTGTTGACTGAAAGAACCATAATACTATTCCACTGCATGAATTTAACATACAGTATATAGTTTTTGTTGGCACATAAAATATCATGGATTAATGAGAATATGGCATTAGTTAAGCTTTAATGATAAGCCTAATTTGGTTCCTAGTTACAGTGCAGTCAGTCATAAACACCTGTGTTAAAACCCATTTCCTTTTATAAAGTGCAAAGCTAGCTGATTTCAAATAGTATTTCTAGGAAACAGGGTGATTAAATATATGTTTC